TGTTACCCAGAGGTTTTGATACTGAAAATAACAAAAAGTAAGAACCTGAACGCGACATGAAGGAAAGAAATTGAAGCAGAAATGCTAAAATCGAAGATAAAATACGGTTGAACTCTTCGAGAAATACCATCATCACCTCAAGTGTGAACATAAGAGGGAACAAACTGGAATTACTTTTACTTGAGGTCTGTAGACACGGTAGCCTCGAGTCCAAAAGCCACAGATAGAAGTAATCAATCAGAAAAAATATATGATCGATTTCTTTCCGTCCAGAACTAGCAAATAATCCGCTGCCGACATTAGTAGGTTTGTGTGACATCGGTGTGTAAATAGAGTGGTCAAATCGACTATGAAATAAAGATAAAAAGCAGTTTTATCTTGTCAGATAAATTTGTTTAGTATCCCAACAAAAGGCCCCTTGCACTTTTTGAGTATCTTGAATCAAGATACAGGTATTTAATTGTTTTCTATTGTTTTTTACGCCGAGTGCCATGAGTAGTTCCATCGAACTACAGTGTTCTTTTTGTGGCAAATGTTTCGCAGAGGTATTATGTAAAATATGTTGTGCAATTGACAAACTATACTAATCCGTGCAACTTATGAACGCTCAGGTTTGGAGAATGCTAATCAGATTTCTAACCCAATTTGACTGATCGAAAACTGTACATTAAATCCGGTTACCTGGAACAGTTAAGTGAGGGATAACAATAAGGAGGGGGTAAAACTCCTAGTATATGTATTTGTGTTTGGAATGCATATCCTTAATACCATCCATTGGTGTGAAGGTGATTTGCGTTTCATAATTTCGTTTTGCTTCAATGTAATGTAATGGTACAGTACAAGAACAGCTGAGCACGAGCCTACGACCTAAATTGATAAGTATTTCCGGTTTGAGGAGTAATTAAACATTTATGAAAAGAAAAACAAACGTTTTTAAATCCTTTATTTATGAGGGAGCACACAATCGTTGAACAGACCTGATGCTTTTTTATATCATTATAGTATACGGCCTATATCCGCTAAGAAAGTGGTCATGTACAGTGCAGGTAGAAACCGGGCACAATTTAAGCCAAGGCGTTGTACCGCAAAGAAGAAAACGAGTATGCTGTCAATCGCCAGTTTAAATGATCACAATGTCCTTATCGCGTTAATAACTGTTATTGACAATTACCTTTCCCATTTTTTTTTCTTATGAATTGCGACAATTTTCTGATTTACCGAAGACAGTAAAATATTAACTGATGATGAAGAAGCAAAATCTTCAAATACGAAGAAGGTACATTTATCACGTATCTGAAAATCTTGTATTGTAGAAGCAAAATACAAAACAAAGTAATATAATTGTAATTATAGATAGGTTGTGTGACATTTCAGACACGAGGTTTTCATTCTTTGTACGTGAAGTATCACTGCTAAGTCATAAACGGATAGCAAACATAACTAAAGTATTTAGTAAATAATAGTACCATCGCATTGGTCAAGACAAACGGGAACTGTGTAGCATAGTCTTAGCTTTGATCATGGTATTTTAACAGAAACTTAAATTCCTTTCCCGTTGTTTACTTGCATAGTGTTTTCTAGAAGATTCGATGTCGGTTAATACTACCGTATACAGCTAAAATCATCATCTTAAATCCAATTGTAAGTGAGATCGTTTATTTTCTTTACCTTTTGTATCTGAGATTTGATTAAGTTCCCTACTAAACGTATCTGTATTTGTTAACGACGTTCTGATCAAATGAGCACTAAAAAATCCTCGAAATCTAGATTTTCACTAGATTGTTACACAGCGAAAGTGCGTGCAATGGTGCTTTAATTTGATATCACCTGTTGGTAAGATAATCATCAGCCACGAGAAAGCAGAAATACAATAAATACCAAGGATATCATACTGTTAAACAATCAGTGGTAAGGATTCAGGGTATATGTAATCTTACAGTAAAATGTTCAGTATTTAGTGTTATTCTATCTTACCATGGAATGTGCTATATTTATCATTGAAGTCAGGGTTTTGTTAATTATTTTATGACACATATGAATTTAACATGTAAAATTAACATACAATGTATAAGTAATTCTGCACTATTCGATTATGCTTAAAATATTTTCAGGTATGATAATTAAGATTATATAAATTCGCTGATAAAATTGGGTTTTCGCATTACGTATTCTATTGAAATCCGGAAGCGGAAGTCAAAAACTGTAAAAAAAAAAAAATTATTCAATACACTTATAACAATGAAATCGAATCGATAACAAGCCTGATAGGTATTCAGTAAGGAAATGGAAATTAATTTACATAAGTTACAAACCTGAAATATCGACTGTTTCGTCTGATATTTTTATTTTCATATGGCATATATATGTATTCTAACAATAATATTACACTCCTCAAATTTTAGGGACAATATTATATATCTATCCTGCGGGTAAATCTCCATAATCTTACAATTTATAATCTCTTTTACCTCGCCTTAATCGCTGTATCTATATATGTTTGTATATGTGGCATTATACGGAAAAAGTTCCTCCGGCAAGCTCGAGTAAATTCATATCAAATTTCATATTCTAGACAAACCCGACCGACAAATAAGGATCATAAATTTAAATGCTAGACAAATTGTTTTTGTTCGAGTTGTACACTATCGTTCGTTGGAGTCTCGCAAGTTCCTGTTTCTTTGCTTCCATGATGCGTGATACGATTCGTATGAAGTGCGGGCTCTTTCAATGTCAGGACGCTATCGGCAATCTCTTATCTTACATGTTGAGTGCGATCCTGTAACCTGGGGCCGTTCTATAAAACGATTTCAATACCTCGACAAGTTTGTAAAGATCGATTCTTACATGTAAAAATGTGTCTCGGACTTTAAATCAATACTTTTTTTTTATGAATCGATTGCCTGTATTGTCATGTTGTATTCACACCGTTCAATATAATTATATTTAAAAAGGATATCAGTAAATTGACGTAAACTATGTTGATGTTTCACTTAGAAAAGCAATCATCATTCATTGTCATTAGGTTTTTCAGTTTAGCCCAGGCTCCAAGAACAATCGTCAACTTGCCTTCTTTGGCCGCTAAATTGGCTTTTCACTGAAGTCATATACCAAGGAAAAGTCGTCAGCTCGACGCCACACATCACCGACGTGTGTTTTAACGGATGGCATGTAACAAGGAGAAGCCTTCAAATCAACGCCACGTCCAATAAATGTATTTTACAGTGAGTTCATGTGCATATGAAACAAAAAGTACGTCAAATGTCGTATTAACCCATATGCCGATGTCATTTTGGCTGCGAGTTTGAGTTAACTGATCAGCTTGTTCAATTTGGACATGTTTCGGACTTACGTAACACGGGAACCTTATGAAGTCTCGCTAAAAGACAAATTGTGAATTGCTCCCGGTCAACGAAACTTGACAAATTAAGCAGCATATTGTTCTTTAGTGGTCCTAAATGACTCCAATTGTCAAAGGGCTGTAAAACAGTTCAAAACGTATTCAATAGTACCTACTCTCAAAACACAATATGGCGCAACATCGAAGTCAGACACCACATTTATTCCCGGGAAATTTAACGGACAATCAAAGCTCCAATTACCCACATATCTTCATATCCAGATATATAATGTTTTTCTCTGTTAACTTATGTACAGTTTTTTTCTGAGAACTGTCGACACATTTCTCATACAAGAAGTTATTTTTCAATTCAATTTAACGAAACATTCCGACACCAATCAATGGGCATATGTTAAGTACAATTGTCAACTTAGTTATCAATTTTCGTATTGATGACTTTGTTTACGAATTGTTTTCTATTTCTAATGACATTCCATTTTTCCTCGTCATTTCTCTGGATATTGACATTATTATAAGTAAATGTCAAAAGAGAAAGGAGGCGCACTACTTCACATTTAAATAATTGACGTGTACCAGCCTCGTTATGTTTTTGAGACGGCAAGGAGACATGGCCATTGATGAATTTTCATTAATGGTAAAGGCCAAAGCCTCTTTGCCGTGTTGAATGGAGTGTTTCGGCGGTTCCAAAAATAAAACAATCGTTAACCAGGTGATGTATTCATGTCTAAAAAGACCGGGTCGAAATTACTGTTTTTCTTACTTATATTTTTTATATATCTAATCCCAAGTCTGTAGTATCGTTGCCATTTACAGATAGTATTCAATAAAACGTATCCTATATATTTTCTTTTTCAATACTCGATCATACAGCCCAAAATGAAATCCATCCATTACTTTATTTTACACTTGATCATATGATGGTGGTATGGTTGATTTGGCGCGAGTTATCCGAGTGGAAAAAAGGCATCAAGACAATTCACTAACTATAGTTATCCGTGTTTATAAAGAGAAGACACTATCTCAAATTTAGTCTTACAGTATATTTCATTGTTTGTCTAACGGGGACCTAAATCTTATGATCGTCACGATAAATTTGTCATAGACCCAAGCATTACCATATGTTTGTGTGTTTACATATTCATCTTATTCAATTTTCCATTTGAGCATACCCTCCGCCAAACAGTAATAGGAAAATGATTGAGATATTTTTATGTTTTGAAATTGATTTCTAAAATACTAAGAAATTATGTTAATATCTGAAAAGTGGGAAGGGATTTCTTCTATTCTGTTCTCAACGGTTTAAAAGACGAAGAATTAGAAAATCAGTTCAATGTTATGAAAAGATTGATTCTTTTGGATGTATTCACTAAATACAATGTAATCATTCTCGTTTAAGAAATTTATGCTGAGAATGCATTTTTTCTATGGAGAACAAATGGGAAAACCTTTTTTTTTTTTTTTTATCTCTTTTAAGTTCTCCAGCGAGAAAATGGATTGTTTTAATGAATTTGTTTTAACAGACGACAACGTTACGTTGATTAACACTTCCTGTATAATAAAGTAAAATAAATTGCGAGTTTATAGTATGCAACGTTGATGACTTTTGACTAAAATAGCAACATCAATAAAACAAACTACTTACCTTAGTACCAAGAGAATTGCTACTAGTCCAATCATCAGCAAACCCTCTTCTTATACGACTATATACATCCCTAAGACTGTCTAGTTCGTCCGTAAAAGTAGACGTATTCCGAGTGGGGCCCGTACACGGGCCTTGCACGAGGGTCCGTCCAGCCCTTAGGGCGTTGTAACATAGCCATACCCCGACTCCGTACACCATAAAATTAAGGATCAGCACACAATACACTACTTTTAAATGGAAATATAAGGATTTGATTTTGTCTCGATTTTTCTTCTTTTGCGGCGACGTCATGACGAATTTTCATTCTTTCTTCAGAAGTAAGAAGTTGTTGAACGTGTTGTTCGTGCTGAAGACATTAATCATTGAGCCTGTTACATACCCGAGGATAGCCCCCCACATCACTAGTGAACCCCCTCCGTTATACCACACAGACTAACGCCCTCCTTCACGGTGGACACCGGCTAGTGAATGTAGACAGCCGGAACGCAACCAGCCTAAACTTTATAAAGAAAACAATACGATTGTATTTGATAGATTCCGAAGGTGAGACAAGCTAAAAACAATAATTCCACGACTGAAGGCGATCCAAGGCGAAGAGAGGAATACAGCGAGAGCGATACGCTTCGGTATCGACCGGCTTGAACCTACACTGCAGAATGTAGGAACGTTCAGGGACCGGTCTCTGCTACCTCGTGGTAGAAGCGGCATTTGGGACGACCTGTGTCTAATAAGCGACAACTAATTGAAATCATACTCATCGAAGCGAGCTTTGGACCAATCACGCTGTTCATAGTTATTAATTATGTACCTTTCTAGATGTTTTCATTGACGGGTCCATTTTTGTCACACACACAGCCAGCCGTGGTTTTGATGGTCATAAGCGCGTGGGGCAAAGCTTGTATGTGTGTTAAGAGGACTCCCGTCAAGCATAATTGTATCAGAGAAATGTGCCGAAGTAGTAATTTGTTCTGTACAGAAAACCCTTAAAATGTCATAAAAGAAATGAGTGTTCCTCCTTGGGGACATCTCCATGAGGTTTATTAGGTAATACACTTTCTTTGATGCATACGGACACTCGGTGGTAATTGAAGGATTTTAAAATATGCCATGAATTACTACATCTGTCCGTGAGGGAATCTTCATATTACAAATGTAAAAACGATACAGTTCTGTGGTATAATCGATGCTGGTAACAAGCTATAGCAAGTGTACAATTTAAGATGTAGTAGTGAAGTATATATCATTTTACAGTTCCTTAACCGAGTTCTCTATTAGACCCAATAATTGTGATAAGAATTTAAAAATACCAGTTGCATAACAATATCCGTCTACTTGTCTAAAATACGTATAACTTATAAAAGCCATTTACGGTAGATATTTCAGACAGATTATCCTAGAACTTACAGTAATAGAATATCGATCTAAATATCATTTCTCGTTATACCAGTTACGATGGTCAGTTAAGATCTCCTTAAATACTGTGACACCCGTGATTGTGTAACCAATTAATTACCATGACACTCCTTGACCACGTAACCCGGATGCTGGTTTCTTTGCCATAGTAAACCACAAGTCTTTATTCTGAGTTGGTACACCTGTACATATATCAATAGTACGTTGCACTGCAGACGGATACCCTGTACCTATGTACAACACTGGCGTGGTACAATATGCATTGACCACTTTAACCACTAAATGCAGCAATGAATCCTTTACAAGTATAGTACGGCAAAAACTTCGTCAGCTTTTTCATTGTCAAAGGCATAGTTAGTGTATGTCGGTGTCTCCTTTGGCTGGCAGAGCAAGATCGAGCTTCATCGTTTGTTCGGGGAGTAGAGCCATTGCGACAGTTAGTAGTCGTATAAAGACGACGTTAACGGATGCCGAGTCTACACAAGGACTACTTTAACTTGTAATCTCACTGTAATGTCTCAATCTGGAAATAGTATCATGAGACACTCAACCTCGTCACATTACTGTGACAATGGGGTAACCTAACATGAATTCAAGGAAACATCACCATTAAGTGATAGTGAGTATCAGTGACAATAAAGGTATCATTTGTTGCAATAGGGGCAGCAGATACGAAATCTACGCACAATTTGGTCATACATATCGTTCGATATATACATTGTATCATAATCTATTCAATGCTTATCTGATAGAAGTGTCCATTACGGTTGTTTTTCTGTACAGTGAAGCAGGCTGAGGTTGAAATATTTCCCCGATTTCACTTGCGTGTGATTCAATTCTAGTCCTTGAAGCATCTTTTTTTTGACAGAAGAAAATTTTATGAAATCCTGTGACTATTCATCTGGAAGGGGGGAATGTTTTTGGTTAACAGTTGATATATGTTTTAGTTAAATCCTGAACGAAACACCTATTCGTCAGTCAGATCGCCCCATGGTAGATTTTTTTCCATTTAAATCCTTCCCTTACGACCAGACAACACCGCAAGAATTATGTATCTTTCGAGGCAAAATTTTCTCAAGATATAAAATCTAGAAACAAATTGTCTTTTATAAAAAAAAACACCCGGCAATTGTAGAATGCTGTGGATACCGATAATTTATTTTTATGAAAGAAATCTATTTTGTATCCTTATTTTCCAACAATACATGAGTTGCGGTGAACGTCATGTTCACCTTACCTTAGCTAGCCTAGAGTGACATCTATGCCGCACGATTAACTAAACAGACGAGTTAAACACATCCTTAGTTACACAGCTTGGAAATGTCAACCTCATGATGCAGTTCTATATATTAACTACAGAAAAATAACTTAGGATACTAAAATGTCAACAACACCGTACTTATATTACGTTGGAAAAAATGTGGTCTATTTTTGCCTCATTTTGATTTTCCTCGTGCTTTTGTAAAATATAGAAAACAAAAAGATAAGTTTAAAAGACATCCGCTATGGAACACACCTGGTTTCTCTATGTATTCTTTTTTAGTTGCGCCTGAGTTTGATAGTTTTCACCTGTGTATTCCATAAGGTGGATGGCAGTACGTCATCCGATAAAATATCATTATTTCTAAATTAATATGAATCATTATCATTTTTTCATATTATTCCCGACTAGTGATTGGCCAGAAGTGAATCACGTGTCCACCGATAAAAACCGATATTTACTTGGAGCGCGTGATTTTTGTTGAAGGACTGGGTGTTTCTAAAAATAGAATAATTAATACCCTCCAAACGAACGTATCGTCCCGCTTCCGTAGCTTTTTGCTGTGTTTTTTTCAGATTGCTATTATTTCTGTTTTGAAAATAATAAAACAATTGTAGCCTTTGACTTCGGTTAATACCTGAATTTATCGACCCGAGAAAAAGATATATTGACCTCGGACTGCGTCCTCTGTTAATGTTAATATATCTTTTCTCGGGTTGCTAAATCCAGGTATCGACCTCAGCCAAAGGCTATAATTTAATAATGTCAGGACAACGATTAACTGAAACAAGGGAGTAGACACATATAACATAAATCATTATGCGAATACAAAACAAGGAATAAAAAACCAAGTCATCTGTAATATTTTAACCTCTAGCTAGTGAGGTGCAAAGCAAACACAAGTGATTCTAGCTACGTTAGTATTATGGTACCTGAACATATATCGTTTACGCCTATGTCTGCAAAAAGGACAACAATTGCCCCCAGCGCCTTTGGATATCATCATTTATTACATTAGCCAGCTTAAATCCTGGCACATTTAAAATAGATTTCTGATGCAATGTGGGCTTTAACTGACGAACCAAATATACTCAGATTCTATGCTTTTTGTCACTAAATATCTTGGTGGTTACAAAACAAAATGTTGACTGGCATGTACAAATTATTAAATAGTGAAAGTTTGTGTTTGTAAGTTTTTACAAAAGGTATCAGACCAAAAAAAACCGAATTGCTGAGAGCGCGAAAATATATAATATATACGCCGCACCCTTCTACAGTAGAAATAGCTTTATATGAATCGCAAGCACGATTTGTATATCTGATGATACGTATCGTATCCTACAAGAACGAAACTTGTAGAGGCTAAACAAGTATCCTGTGTTTCACCGGCTCGTGTATAGGTAATTCCCTTTGTACGTCAGATGACAATTTGATGAGACGTTGTCCGGAAATCCGTTGATATGAATGTCGGTGTTTCATATCCATCCCTCAATGGAACAATGGACCTCAATGTTCTCAGTCGATGTGAACTTTCACACGTTAAGACCGGACGACACCGTAGAAATGGTACTTTCGTGTAAATCTGGAGAAACATTGCGACACACTATGTTCTCAAGTTTAAAAAAGATATGCCTGCTATATGTAAAAACGCCATGTCTACAATGTTGTGCTAACCAATCATGTGTTTTAAAGGAAGACATCTAATTTTCATCCTGATTTTCCTACCAGACGTCGACTCACCTTAAATGTTTAACCAAACAGACGAGTTATACACATCCTTTGGTAGAACGCTGGCAAATGTCAACCTTATGGCACAGTTCTCAATATACATCATAGAAACAGGATACCCAAATCGTAATCAGATTTCTGTTTAACAGAGCTCTGGCCTATATTTGTCGCATTTAGTTTTCTGTTTGGTTTAAATCAAAGTTAGTTTTATTTCATCAAAGCATTGCTGCATTAGAAAGTCAAGACCAAACTCGCATGAAACAATTAATTGTAAAACATGCAACTTGAAAATTCGCGAGATGACTTTTGTGTTATTTATTACATTTTTCGCATACATATTTGAAACATAATACACAGGATAGTTAATATTTTATTCTTCTATCTCTTGTGTAAATGTTTTACTCTCTTCTGGAAACGAGCAAACCCAATGCACATCTATCCTTTGAAATTTGAGGAACACAAGAACCGCGCCACGTGACCTGTGTCCGAAGTATTACATGTACCAATAGCTGGTAAGGATGAACAGAATCAATTAGGACTTCCGCCATTAAACACACCTGGTTTCTCTAGTGATTCGTTGAGAGTTTTTCTTTTTTTTTCTTTTACACCTTTGTATTCTAGCAATTATTACGGCGAATGTCTGCACGTCATCCGATAAAAAAAAAACGTTTTTCCAAATTACACACAATCCTATGTTAGGAAAACTCTTAGCTGACGAATGGTCGGAAATCTACATTAATGATTCTTTGCGAAAAGATTGTGTTCAGAATAAAGCTGATAACGAAATACCAAATATTGAACGACTAAACGACTTAAGGAACTCTTTAAGAAATAATCTATAATATAATTCCGGCATAAATTTACACTTTGCCGATAAATAATCCAATATTATCACTGTTTACACGTGCAATCGTTACACGACTAAACGGCTACTGCTCAATGTTAGTACCTCTGTCCTTCCATATATCAAAGATATTTGCTGTACTCGTGACTAACAATGAACATAATATACTTGTAATGTACCTTCCTGACGGGATATTATGCACCGGTGATATTTCAGTGTGATAGCACTATAAATTGTACTCAGGCCCATGACCTTATCTGTTTACAGTTACGTAAGATAAAAATAAACATTATCAGCAAATTATCACGAAAGAACTATAATCCGCATGTCACA